ATTGTTAAACTATTTATAAACTTATTTCACTATTATGTTTGTTTTGTTAAGTAAGTTACTTGATGAATTAACGTTTTTTCAAACACCATCAAATTCTGAAAATTTGAACTAATTTCGAAAAATAGGACGCCCTTTCCTAGGCGAAATTCGACACGATTTTTTCAGTGGCTTTCCTACTAAAAGGAAATACAAATAGATGTACCTCGATAACGGGGTGAAGAGTAGCACTACCACAACTGCAATTATAATTGTACTATGTCCTTATTGTTAGTGTGACTCGAACCATGGAGGAAGTACAAAAGCTGCAATGGATCATTTCTTTATTGGATCCTAATCAACTATTCTGAAAAGTGTCTAGATCCACTTGATACTAGTTAGGGACGTAGCCAGGATTTTGAAATAGTTGGGGGAGCCGTTGTTCGAGATACGTATTAGGCCTACTGAGCGAAGTTGGGGGTGCCTTCATACTGCTTGGGTCAGGTGCCGAGTTGATGGAGTTAAACATACTCAGGGAAGGCCGCAGCTCACTTTTGAAAAGTGGGAGTAGGGAAACACTATATCTACACCAACAACTGAGAAATCATGGTTGGGGCTGAGGTGCGAAAATTTGAGAAAATAGTACCTCTAGATGGGCAGGACACTTAAAATTCATCAACATCACATCATCATTAAGTCAAAATAAATCGCCAGCAAATTTCTTATGTTGTTTTTTCAGAGATTCTCGCTAACCATAGAGGATCTTATTAATATGCGTGTCGTGCCATAGGATATAAAGCTTAAAACATTGTCTTTCATGTAGTCTGTACATATAAAATGATTTCACAACCACTGCAGCCCCACCGCGGTCGTAGTTGGGGCTGAGGTGAGAAGGTTCGAGGAAATAATACCGCTAGATGGCTGGAAATGACACTTTATATAGTAATATTCATAATCATCACATCACCATTGTAGTCAAAGTGATGCGCCAACAATTTTCTCATGATCTTTTATCAGTGAATTTCGGCAACCATAGAGATTAATAATTATAATTCAGGACAGCTTAGCCCTAAATATTCTAAGCTTTAATAACTACTATAGGCCTCCCAATTTTTAATATTAATATCATTACCGTTATCCTATCACAATCATTATCATCATCATCATCATTTCTACAGTATGTCGTCTGTCTCTTATACACATCTAGATGTGTATAAGAGACAGATATGTTTCTTTATAGTGATAAAACTGTATTCAAGTCTATGCTATTCATATAAATAAAATATCGCAGTAAAACAAGTGTTAAACCTATTACATTCGCTACTACTCGGTGTACTATAGTACTACTAATCTCCTTTGACTTGAATATCTCACAGTGTCACCATGATATTGTTGAAGCTATAGCGCCACCAATCATTTCTGCCTCAAACGTGCAGGAAACAAAATCGCCCCACGCCAGGGAGAGTTGCCCCTCCCCACGTCGGGGAGAAAAACCACAATTCGTCGGGGAGACAAAAATGTATATGAATTTTCTACATATTAGTAGACTCCAAATTCGATAAGCTTTTGGAAACCCCTAAATTGTATGGGAGCTGTTTTAAAATTTTGTACATGTTTTATTGTTTTTGATGAAACTTTTAAAGCTTTTTAAAAAAAAATTAATTTTGTGCAATTCAATATCGGTATTTTTGATGTCGGTTTTATTTGTATATAGTATATTTATATTTATTTAAAAAATTTAATATTAATGATTTTAAATATTCAGCAAGTAATGAAGAGGCAGCACTAGGAGAATAACTTTCAATGTGTTATTTTTTTGACACGATATTATTAAAAGTAAACCATCTCGCTTGTTATATCACTACAATATTACATAGTGAAGATCCAGTCTTTGCATCCGGAACATACTGTACATTGGAATCGGGCACACCAACATTACTTGTTGAATATTTGTTAAGACTAACACGTAGGAGTGTTAGTCGGGCAAATCCTGGCGCCACCCCTGGGCTGAGAAAGCAGCTTAGCTCAATCGGCTAATCTGGTGGTAGCCACTGTGTGTGCGCTGAACCGTGGAGATCTCTAGGTCCCCGGTTCAATTCCCATCGCTGCCTCTCCTTGTGCTTCAGCTAGAGGGCTGAAATACAAGTTACAATAGCGCACCGTCTTTCGGATGAGACGTTTAAGCCGTTGGTCCCGTGTGCATTTATGGCCCATGTGCACGTTACAGAACACAGTGCACTCTTCGGAAAAGAGTTGGGGTTTGTCTCCCGGTGTACTGTCCAATCACCACCAGAAAGACTCCACTGGAAATTAGTCTTCTGGACTTTCATGGGCTATCATTGGTGTTTTGACCGAATAAATCCAATCCAATCCAATCCAAACATCACTCCTATGATATTTTCCTGACGCAAAGTCCATTTCTTATAATTTAACCTAACACTAACAATTTCTGAAAGTTAGATTTTTACATTTAAGTTAAGCCTATGCCTGTTAATGTTATATATGGTATATTTTGTGTTTTTTCCTCTTAAATATGTATGCCTCATTTATGTTGTAAACAATTTCGACGAGAACCGATAATAACAGGCCTATAGAAAGAACCTATCATTGAAAGTATTTGCCATCAGAAGTTGACTACGGTTTGTATATAATTGGGCTATGTCTAAAGAGATTTCGAACAAAAAATATATGCAATCACGTATTGAACGAAATATACAATATTTCCAGAAACGAAAAGTCAACGAAAACCTTGGGAAAGAAAATTTGACTATTTCGATGTTGTTTTTTTTTTTTTTTTTTTTGCGTCAGGAGAAATAATAGACCTACGAATGATGTTAGGCCTACCTGACGTGTTATCCTAAATGCTCACCAAGTTTCTAAATACTTCCAAAGAAAAATCTCGAAATGGATTCAGGTGGAAAATGAACCAACCTCCAGATAACTAGCTGTCCTAACCACTACACCACCGATATTGCCTTTCAAGGTTTCTGATGAATCCGATCCCCAGCAGCGGGTACTATATGTCATTTCTACAGTATGTCGTTTTTCTTACTAGGAGAAATTATACGAATGATGTTTGCCCTGAGGTAGGTGTTCTGCACTCGAATCACTTGCGAGATTTTTTTTCGCAAGGTTATGGGTGTGGCAAACATAATTCGTAAAACTTAATTATTCTGTGAAGATTATCAAACGAAAAACTAAATACATTAGCCATTATATGGTAATTGAACGAAGGCCATAATTAGCCCAAAGCGCGTAACTTAATGATCATTTTTTTATAAGCACTATAGCCTACTTTGTTTTGATTAGTATTGATATTTAATAAAAATATTTCTCACTTACGTGTAGTCTGACTAAGATTGGCAGCAGCGATTACAATGATGAGCATAGATCGGCAGAACATCATTTTCACTTGCCTGTACATATTGTCACGAACGAGCACCAAAGCTAATTGAAAATATCTAACTGCATTTCACTGTTTTGTTTCTTCTCGAGAACAATACGAATTTTCAGAATACCCTCCAGTCAGGTTTTCTGTGAGTGTTACAGTACATTAAGCAGAGGTTTCATGTAAACAAATATTCATTCGAGCGTAAATATACGGAGTAGCATCTTATACAACTACATAACCATTACGAATCTGGTGGTTATCCTTATAAGCACTTTCCTTCTTTCTGAGTATCTAATAATGATAGATTGTGAATTATAGCCATTCTTGAAGATTTTCACAAGAAGAGAACACATACAAAAGAGAACACATACAAAGGCATAATACATCATAATTTTCCTATCCAACACATCATAACATATGAATTAATCTCTAAAAGACTTATGAGTCCATCAGATTTTAAGGTACTTCGAAAAATAATACGCTCTTCCAAATGAATTACATTGTTTGATACCGATATCACATTAAAGTGTTAAGCTATAGGAAGACCTGACATAATTATGACATTACTGGAGATACATGTGAATTTCTCTTGAATAGAATAATTAATCGATGGTCCTATGATACGTTCCGTTCCGTCTTACATCTCTTTTATTGCATTAGTCATACCTATATTATCTACTTGATGTCGTGCTAGACTTCACTAACTAGTCCTTCAAGCTGGATCATGTCTATATGAAAGCATAGGAGGCTCGTTAAACATGTATTTGGTGGCTGGGTCGGATTCCAATATGCTTCAGCCACAATTTCACTCACCCCACCCCACCCCATCCCCACCTCTCTGGCCCGCAGTCGATCCTCTCGAGTTCGCTCGGACTATAAGGCCAAACGATCAGCTTGAGTTGGCTCTGTCGGCTGTTGCGGCCGAAAAGTGTATGAATAACATTCTAAAAATGCATCTTACTTCCGATAAGCACCAACTTTTAAGCGGACCCAGATACATGTAACATTGTCATGTGTGAAAATCGAAAATAAGTCGGTCCAGTAGATTTTGAGATTTTTTTTCGGAAATACACACACCACAGACAATACCTTCGGAGAGGCAACGGTAGTCAGGGGTAATCGCCCCCCCCCCCCTCCAGAGAGGCGAAAGTAATTACTGAAGTAGAAACAAAGCTTAATATTGAACGTCAGCACAAATCTAACATACTTTTCCGTTTTATTAACTATTCTACTGAGGCAGTGCGGGTCTGGGTTCAAATTTAGGAGGGAGTCAGAATGTTTCCAAAATTCCCCCTCCCACCCCAAAAATAAAAGGGGGCCTGGGCTTCTCCCCCGGGAAAATTTTGATTCTTACATGGCGAGAAATGAGCTTTTCCGACTTCTGAAGTTTCTTTTAATGACTTTTAAATTCTTAAAAAAATAAAGGTTGTATTCCCTCTTGAAAACGTTAGGTAAACTGTTCCATTCATATTACAAGTCGTTTCCTACGCAGTGTTTAATTTAAATGGGGTATTTGAATTTATTTGTTACTGTTTGTTATTTTATTTTAAATTCTATGTTGTATGTTATTCTCATGTGAACACACTGTCATCGTGTGCCACTGTTTTAAAAGTGAAGTTTAAAATAAAGATTATTATTATTATTATTATTATTATTATTATTATTATTATTATTATTATTATTATTATTATTACTATTATTATTATTATTATTATTATTATTATTATTATTATTATTATTATTATTATTAGTAGTAGTAGTAGATAGTATGCAGGTAGTGTCCAACAATAGAATATTACGTCATCATAATTCATATTTATTTATTAATAATTTTATTAATTTTTTTTGCTCATAATGGGTTGAATCATATGAAGGGGGTATATGAGGGTTTATTGAAATAATTAAAACAAAAAGTGGTATTAATTAAGTGGCGTTGTGTAGCGTGACGTGTTAAGTTTGTCATGTTTC